CAGGGCACACATGGCCAATTTTCCTTCTACTATGTTTTTTCAATACATGGAGAATGTAAAAACTCCACATGGATAGCACCCCAGGAACTGAACCCAGGGCCTCTGACCTGCACATCAGCAATGCCATCCACTGCACCACTGAGCCATTCCAACATAACATCTTTGGGACTAACCCATCACTGCCATCAACAGAAGATCTGCTCAATCACATCTATTCCGCTCAAGAGTGGGATTTCTTGTGTGCGTCTATATTCTTTTTTTAGATATATTTATTCTTTTACATGTGCACATTAGTGTTTTTCTCTTTAGATTCTTGATATATGCTAGTTATTAGTATGGTGGAGCTCTGAGTTGAATAATTTCAATATAAGCATATAGATCTGTCTAGAATGATCATCTTCAAGGTAATGCTTGATGTTAAGTACAATGTTATGTGCAGTATATTTTGTTGGTAATATGTCATCCTTACTTTGGCCATTTATAGTCCTTGAATCAGTCCAAGTACTGAGGGGTGATTTCTGTATGTCTGAAACTTGTTTGTAGTGTTGTGAAGGTGTCTTCTTTTCATCTATAGAACATGGAGCGTGTCCATACACATCCATTCCAGTCAGATGGAGAAAAGCTAATATAGCGCTTGTAATTTAGTACAATAAATGCAGGTGCACCCAAACATAGTCCCAACAAGTTGCAGCATGCTTGGAACCCAAGAGAACTAGCCTTTTAGCCAATACGCATAAGCATGTACAGTATCTCCTACAGTAGCTTTCTTGCCCTGGGTCTCCGTGGATTTCAGAATAAGATTTAGATCGTGGCTCATCTTGAAGGGCTTGAAATCTTTGGCTCCTGCCTAAGTACGCAAACTGTTAACCCCATATACAATTTTTTTGCGCTTTCCAGATTCTGGAGAGATTCTGGTCTTCTTTCAGTTTACAATATGGGGCGACTAGGAGCCTTTGGTTTATGTCCCAGCCCGTACCAGATCTCTCCAGTCAGCCAGTGCTCAGTTCCCCATCTTAAACTCACTTTCATGTTCTACCTTTTCAGATCTGATGAATTTGTGTATATCGGTCTTTGATTTTTTTTTTTTATATACGGTAGCTTATTGAGATGATGTACAATGAAAGCCACTATATAAAATAAAGGTTAATAAAAGTAACTAGTTCCTCTGGAAGGAAACCCCGGATTGCCTAGAAATGAGACCGCTAATGAGCCACACATACACACTTGGTTGTATTATACATCGATAATAATGGTCATAATGGATCCGCCAATTTAGATCTGGAGAAGCTGATCCTATCTGGTGTGCTTTTGGGAAATGAGATGATAATAATGATCTTTAAAGTCATTACCATCTACTTGACCTGTCCTCTTGATTTTAGACAACACAGCTGAAGACAGGGATTATGATATGGTTCTGCAAGAGCCTTCCAGTATAACACAAGTAATAAATTTAAATTGCCAGCTCTTTCTCTTCACCATACAGCAGCACGACAGATTTGATAGAACCCTTCGAGAAGCAGTTCGGTCAGGCCTTCTCATTAATAAGCTACTAGCACCCAGATGAGCAGGAGGGATTGAGAGGCCTCCTTGCCCCTTTTCTGTTTCTTATACAGGATTTGTCGCTTCATGCAATTTAAGTTCTTATTTGCAGCGTTGTCTTATTGTTTACACACTCTCTGTGGCTCCCCTGCTGTTGTCTTGGCCTGGAACAGAAGCTTCCAAGCAAGCAAGCAATCTGACGTTCCAACAACAACTCGTTCTGGAAAGAGAACTAGAAAGTCCACAGGAGCTGAAGAAAATGACTGTTGCCACAGTTATACGAACTTGAATAATGAATCCCTGGTCTCCGAACAACTGAGTCCACGCAGGCACAGTACCAGAGCATTAGGCAAAATGCATAAAAATACAGCTGTACAATAAAAAGCAGCCAGTGTTACAGCGATAAAACCAAACTTTAAAGTCACTGCCATCTACTATACGTGTTCTCTTGATTTTAGAGGCAATGATTAGCATTTAAGTGGAATATTCCTTTTAATATAGATCTCCATTAAAGTACATTTAATATGGCAAATATTTAGAACAGTTGTCAGTCTTGAGTTTCCCTCTTATCCATGTGTATCCAACATTAAAACCTTTCTTTCCCAAAGCTTTTTTTTCCCCTCACAATAGGCGTATTTCAGTAAAAGTGAACACAGTAGCAGTATTTTCACAAACTGTAGCTACTGGCACATAAATCATAGATTCCTGCTCTTTATTTTGAAGAGCACAATCTGGTGTTAAGAGAATGTCTTGAAATAGAGATAACGGTGTTCTTCAAATTAAGATTTAAACTAGTTACCTCCTTAGAACATACAAACATTTACCATTTCTGAAAGTACAAATGCTACATATAGTAACAATGAAACACTGAATTATCCTGCAAAATGTGTGTTTGGGTAATAGTTAAGGCAGATAAAAGTAGCTGCGTATTTTTAAGTTCAACACAAACTATTTAAGAACAACACAAACTGTTAGTAATAAGTTTGCATTCACCATAAGGTGTTTGGTAACATTTTATATTTTTATTTAAGTTAATATACAGTATTAGTTTTGACTGCACCACAAAAATGGCTGGCCTATAGCAAATACCACTGCATAAAGGTGTTACTTTTTTTAACTATTTATTTTATGATTTTACAAAGGTTACTTCTACATCATCTTGGAAGGGTAGTAATTCTATGACATATTTAATATGCACTTGGCAAAATATGGTTTTACTGTGCAGATTTCCTATATTCTGTTAAAAATCCTATTCTCCGAGTGCTGCTTTAAGTTGTGAAACTCCTTTATTTTTACACCAGTACTGTCAAGTAATGTGGTGAATGGGGGAAAAAAATGAAATGAGAGTAACAAAGTAAAGAAGAAATGGAAAAAAAATGAAACAAAAACCATTGAGCAGCAGTTCTGTTTATTATATACTGTATTTACGTCCTGCGATATACAAGTAAGCAAAAGAGCAGCTCTAGACGATGAGCAATGCTGTGAACTAGACGGCAACATTAACTAAGTATAAACTGAACTTTCTTACTCTCTAAATAAAAGAATAATGAAGCTTATTAACATCACTTTATGACTTCTCTACTGGTCTTTCTTAAATTAGACGATTCTAATCTGAATGTATAAAAAAAACCTTTACCAACCTCAATGATGCTCTGGTGTACACAAAAAAGTTAGGCATGTTTTTGGAAGGTTCTGTTTTCTGGAAGGGCTGAAAACTGAAGACCTGAGGTCAATACATTCTTGTCTCCAGTGCTGTATTGCTGCCCTTCAGGGAAGGCAGTAGGTTGTATAGTTATCTCCTGAAGGGGCAAAATCACTACCCTGAAACCACACAACCTACTACCTCAGCCTGTGAGAACATCAGCTAGATCAGGGTCAGACAGGACTGTGCCATTGGGTGGAAAATGATGCAACGAGACGGGCTAGTGTCTTTCCGCTGATATCGCAGTTGGATCTTCTACATCTTGATATAGCAGATAAAACAAAACAGCAATCATGAAGACAAACCGATCTCCGCACGAGTGGTTAAACATAGACATGGGCTATAAAACAAGATGAGCCTTGACCTTCTCACAACAAGGTATCGACACTGCTCACATGTTCTTATCATTTATTATTTCATGACACCAAGAGGTCCACTTAGAGGGTATCTTCTTCCAGCGCTGAAATTACAGCCACTTCAGGAAAGACAGTAGATTGTATAGTTATCTGACAGGAAGGGTGTAACCCCAAAACTATACAACCTACTACCTCACCCCAAAGGACAGTCTTTTTCTGATCAGCAGTCAGATCAGGCTTGAACTTCAATGCCCACTTCCTGACAGGAAGACACGATGGTCACCACGGAGTTGAATGCGAAGCAAGACAGGAGGGGAAAAGACCCCCCCCAAAATCCAGTAGCCTTTGTTTTTTTTTCTCCTACCAGAGAAGAAACACAGACTCTGTCTTCTACATTTGTAACGGTAAAAAAAAAGTTACAAGTCTCTTCAACTCAAAATTAAGTATGGAGCAGAAACCACATTAAGGCGAAGCTTATCTTTCTGCCAGGTTCTCTGGACAGTTAAATTTCCACCTGCACCTGCAACAGGGAAACAAAACAGGCACTATTATAATTAGCAAACATTTCAGTTACCATCTAAAAAAGATGCAATGGACAACATCGTACCATTTAACCTAATAATGTGAAGTAAAAAGATTGTTATTAGGAAATAAAGACTTCAGTAGTAATGTGCTGGCAACAAAATCTCTAAAGTGAGATGTCTGCCACTAAGCCCAACATCATGCTAACAGGAAACCAGAAAAAAAGGAAGTTTAATTGTATAAGATCCCTGTACATCACAAATCCACACTTTACATCCCTGGAAATGTGACAATGACCGCATGTGTGCTGTATTCAGTTGGTCCAAATACAAAATCTAATCACAATGTTATTATATTGAAACTCCACATGAAGGGAATTTAATTGGGAAAGCCAGCCCAATTTAAACTGTAATTTACAGTACATACAGTACAATGGATTCAAAAGATTTATTTCCAGAAGAACTGATATTTTGAGTATGCCAAGGCAGCAGAAGTTAAAATACAGCAAAGGGACTGGATTATAACGGCACACTTCATAAGTCTGTTGACTTTTAAATCTTACATTTGCTAAAGATTTTGTTAACAATCCTTGCCTTTTGAGACACGATATAAAATACCTGTAATGCACCAGTAGATCTCATGTTTTAATGCGTGTTCGTAGAATATAAGTTCTGCACAAGCTTTTTCAAGTATAAACATCGATGGACATTAAATATATGGAAATGTTTTATTATTGTTGTTGCTTGCTTTTGTTGTGTTTATTTAAACTTTAATTAAGCATTGGAAAGAAACAGAAAAGTACAACACTTTGCTCAACTTTTTACTATTTTATTATAACTATATAATTGTTTCTTAAATAAATGTAGTCATATTTCCGAGGGACTTTGAGAAGTTAATTATATATTTTGCGTTCATTATTTTGTTAGAGGATCTAACTGAACCACAGCATATACTGTAGTGTAATTCCTTCCAGACAGCTTTGAGAGCGATTCCTTAATTGTGAATCTGTTGTTATCCATCCATCCATCCATTTTCTAACTGATTTCAAACTAATTTTTATCTAGTTCTAACCTATTCTACTGTATAAATGTACCATAAGATAACATTCTGCTTTTATATTTTTAGACTTCAAGGAAGCATACTCTTCCAATGCTTTGTAAAAGGAGATGCTGACCCAAGTTTTTTTTTTTGTTTTCCTTCAGCTGAAGGTCCTGTGGGAAAACAGCAGCAGCTTCTCTGACACGAAAGGCTACATTCGCGGGATCTGTTTTCCATTTGTACATCAGCTGTTTCTTTCTGAATTTTAAAAAAAGGGATGAGGTGTGTGGGTGGGGGCTTCTCCCTTTGAAAGCTTTTTTTTTCTCCCTCTCTCTCCACGAAAGGGGCCACCCGGTTGCTTGTGATGGAGGGGACGTTGATCCAAGTGTGGGGCCCCCCTGTGGAAAATGACTGACAGGCAAAACGCGCCGGCAACAAACTCACCGAAGAGGACACAAGCGGCCCCCCAGAGCTGCATTACACAAGACAATACCCACGCACCTTGAGCTCTTCGGCCACATGTGTGGTGTTTCACTTCTGCTCTTAATGAGTCTCATCTGCGCACTTACACGAAAAGAACTAAGTACTTGCAGGCCGCGAAAGCGAGAAAGTCTTTTATTATTCCAGCGCTTCGCCAAAGTCGGCCGTCATCTGCAAGCTCGGAGGTATCTGGAAGCAGGAGAGCACTGGTTTCCAGATAACTTGCCTGCTCCTCAGCACATCCTGGATAAGCTGTCCACAACACAGGAGCTTCGGGACTCTCTGCACTTACAAACGACAAGTCTAAAGACCCAAGCAAAAAAGAGTAACCAAATGTGACACACAAAACGAGCTAAAACCCATGTTGAGGACATCAATCTCGTCATTATTTTTTAAGGCCAGGGCTTCCTAACTCTGGTTCTTGGGACTACAATGTCTTTTGAGTTTTCTACTAAAATCCTTGACTGAACCTTAAAATGTTAATTTTCAGACCTTGGACCTAAACCAGTTAAACTGTGACCAAACTGATCCTGGGAGTCAATTTATACAGGTTACACTCTGTGTGTTTTCCTAATTTCTTAATGCAATGATATGTCCTTAATTTGGGAACTTTTCAATTTATTAATGGAATTATCTGTCATATCTGTAATTGTCTAGCGAATCACACTGTTAATGTTGCTTTTCAGCGGTCATCAACACTTCATTTTTCAAAAAAAAAGTCGATTAGGACAATAATAGTTGCATTTTAATGAAATAGCATTTTAATAATTAAGAATTTTGTTTGTTCTTTGAAGCTTAAGACATTTATAGTTAATTACAAGAATCCATCCATGATCTAACCGATTTATCCAAAAGAGGGTCTTGTGGGAGCCGGAGTCTGTCCCAGCAAGCAATGGGTGCAAGGCAGGGTACACTCTGGACAGGACGCCAGTCCATCACAGGGTAGACGCACACACACTCACACCAGGACCAATTTGCCCAGAATACACTTAGCCTACTAGTATGTCTTTGGACTGCAGGAGGAAACCAGAGCACCAAGAGGAAACCCACAAGAACACGAGCAGAACATGCAAACTCCTCACAGACAGGACTCCGGGAATTGAACCCAGGGCCCCAGTGCTGCGAAGAAACAATGCTGACCATTGCACTTCCTTGCCTTCCTAAAGTCTGCTTATTGGAAAAAATTGAAAACAGTTGCAAAAATCCAGAAGTCCAATATTCATTTAAATCCCTGAACCCGTGGAGAGCCAAAGCAAGCAGGTGGAACTATTCTGCTCTGTGAGCATTGTCTGCTGTCTTACACCAAGTCCAGGCTACATACGTCACTGCATGCAGTTTCTCAACTGAAGATGAATGCCTCAACAAGTTTCAGCAGCAAAACACGAAGCAGAGGACATGAGAGGAAAACTTAGGGAGAACAAGCTTAAAACCGAGAACAGTCTGCACTTTTTTCGTTTTACACTTTGAGTTATAGGAGCTTCGGACAAGTAACCATGCCATCTTGTTAAGAGCTGATAACCCCGCTGCCTTTAAGAAATACCTGGATGAGATCCCAGGATTAATAGGCTACGTACAACGAAATGATCTAGATGGGCTGAGTGAAACTTTGTTTTTGAAACGTTTCTTACAGTATGTTCTTTTTTATGTTTGCTTCTAAGAGCCTGGGAAATCAGATGGTCTTTTTTTCATGCTTTTTACCGAAGATTTGAAATGCAGTAAAGCGATGAGCACCTTCGAATATGTGCTTCTCGTCCACTAATGATTACAGGGATGCATTAACACTGGAAAATGATTCAGGTTTTTAACTAAGCCACTTGCAAAAACTCAAGACATTTTTATTTTGTGCTGCTGACACAAAAGAACATTTTGGTCGTGAAAAAAAATCCCATTTTAATTTCCATTAGCCCTTTTGTATAGGGTTAGCACATTAGCTTCTGTATACATGTTTCTGTGCAATTACTGCAAATGTCTTTGCAGATATCGAGCATGGTAAAGGAGAAAAGACAATGCTTTAATTAACAAGCAGGCTTTTTAACTTTTAAATGAAAAAAAAAAAATCACGCTCATTCATCGCTCACTGCAAAATGTGATGAGTAGTGGTCCTGAATCTGGGATTCTGGGATTCGGACCACAGGATTCTGGGATTGAATCCCAGTTAGACCACCGCCGGTGTACAGTATGTCTGAGCAAGGAACTTCACTGAGATGTATCCAGTAAATCTGTCGCTGTACAGGTGCTACCCAGGTTAACATTCCTAAATGAGAATCCGTTCTTAATGAACTCGTGTAGTAAATAAAGCATAAAAACGAACCATTCCATTCCAAGCACGGCTCCGTCTGAGCGCTCCAAAAATGTTTTTTTTTTAAATATTTTAACGCCGACTAACTTCCACAAGGACAGGCAGCTTGGCCTCTTGCACGGGTCCAGGCAAAGACGAGCACTGTTGTAACCCCTACTCTTCCACTCTCACTGCTAGGCGTAACCCTATCGCACCCGACAAGTCGAGAACACCCAGACTTACTGTTTGAGTCCGCATCTGCTGAAACATTTAGCAGATCTAGTTCTAGCAGGAGGCTGGGTGTAAGGCAGAAGGCAGATCTATTGTTAGTACTCAATGGAGTGCTTGATTCTCTTTTTACATTATTAATGGGATCATTGCTTAAAGCTCCCATAGGTGGATGTCTCAGAGAAATTAAGTTATCTCCCAGCATGCTGACAGAAGCATTCTTTCCTCCTGACAGGAGCTTGTAAAGTTTATCCCCATATAATGATGCACCTATTTTTTTGGGGGGGGGGATTTACTGCAATGCAACTTTAACTAACAGCGGTTCTGACTATTTGTTGTACCTGTGAGGCAGGTACAACTGACTGATAAAAAAGCTTCTGGTGGCTCAACAACGGTAAAATGGTATTTAGAGCGATTAAGAAACAAAAACATGCCACAGCTTGGCAATATTTCCTCGGGAGCAGACGTTTTGAACTGAGCCGCGGTCTAGCGGGATCGAAAAATCCAGGACAGGAACGTTTTGAAGCGACATTCCTGGAGCAAACGACTTGACTCGGACAAAAACAAACCTGAGCGCGTTCAGTCAAGTCATGTAGATGGTGACCTGAAATATAAACAAAACAAACAAACATAAAAATGCGCTCTTGACTGTTCTGGCAAAACTCTTTTTGGCGCTATTCATTTTATATCTAGAAAATGAAAACTGACTTTACAGCCTCAAGCTTCACTTCCGCTGCAAGAAAAATATAAGAACTATGACACAGCTGCTTCAAATATGGCATTCAAGCGAACTGATTAAACACTTTTTTTGTACTTCTCCAGAAAGAAACGCAACTCAACAGCCTCACATTAATTTGGAAAAAACAAATTGTTACAATATTTTCCACCTTGGTTTTGTAATAAAAACACTGTATAATTAATAGCTTTATATACCAACAGCTGCAAGCTGTATGCAATATATTATGAATCTATTTATCATGCAGGCAACGCGGTGAGGGAAAGAGAAATCTCTGTTAAAAGCTGATACCTCACAGCCTTTGCTAAGACCTATGCTTAACTGACAAGCTCTGGGCTGGCCAGCAGTATCTGCTGACAGTACTACAATAAATCTGGCACACTTGTGGTTTTTTTTAAAGGGGTGACAGGCAAGGGGCTGTGGTTTGGGCCGTGAGTTGCTCCTGGGAACAGGCCTGAGTGTGGTAGACCACAAGATTTGTCAGCTCCTTATAAAGGTGAGCAAGACAATTGTGGTAAGTGTGATTAATAAGAAAACATGCGAATCCAGCTGCCTGACTGAAAGAAGCATTCGTAGCTACAGCAGAAAGAGAAGCCGACAAGGGACCTCCCAATATGGGCTGAAGTTGCTTTTAATAGAGCAATTGAAGGAACGACAACGTCACATTAAAATTTTATGCATTATTTTAAGGCCACATTATCTACATTATCTCCCCCGATTTCAGTTTCCTTGAGGAACAATGTTGTTCCTCAAGCCCCATGTTCTTGTTTGATTTTTCTTGGCAGTTTTTGGCGACATTGAACTGCTTTCTCCCACAAAAATGTCTCCTTTGAGCATGTTCTGACTAAACAATCAATAGTAATTTAACAAAAGGAGACCAGGTGGAGAGATTCTTTTGCGAGCAACTGTAGTTTGTGAAAACGTTTCCTTATTAGTAGTAGGTTGGCAGGAGGGAGACATTTTGGGTGAGACTGTTAACAGGAGATTTTGGATGTATATATAAATAATTATACTTCATAGAGATCTTCTTTCTCCTTTATGGAAGCATTATGTCTTTGAGTTCATTTCAACGTGCGCTGTCATTGAAAGGTATTCCTACCTTATTACTGCAAAAGCTCCTGGCTGTTGTCATGGCAATCCTTGGAAAGCTACAGTCCAAGCCTTCATCCTCAAAACTCTTTAAAAACAAAGTCAAAAAGAGAGTGTTTGGTCAGTCTTTCATAGATTTCCAATCCGCTAAGAAGTAGGCTGCTAAAAACATTCCCATAATGACAATGTTACACATCAACCAGCAGTTATATATATATATTATTTTGAAAATTGGATACAGTATTCAATGGCTTATTAGCAGCTTCTGTAAATGACTAAACAGAACAGATGGTGTCAGACATTCTGAGAACAGACTACTTTACAACCCCTGAGACATTCTTGACTCCCATTAAAACAACAACAATAATGCTCAGAAACTGAAGTGCTGCTCTAAACCTCATACATTTTGTACCGCATCTAAGCTATAAACCAATGTGCATCATGCACATATGAAAATATTAGAACTGTTATGGGCAGACCTGGAAAAACTGGATCATGTCAGGGCAGCTGACAGTTTCAAATTCTTTCAGCATTTGTAAGATTCCAGCTCAATTTAAGATGAGGTGCGTTTAGGATCTACACACTTCTTTTTTTTTTTTACAAGCTCGCAAAAAGCTGTAAGGTGTACAATTTTGCATTTTTTTTGGTGTAAAATGGCACAACGCGTCTGCAACGGCCAGTGGTCGAAGCCGACACTCGTCCTTGGAGAAGTGGCTGGATCAGATTTTGGGCTTGACTCCGCTTATCTTACGTTCCCCAGTTCCTGTTTCTTGCTCTGTTTTAAAAGTGGCCGCCGGCCACAAAAACGTGTCCTGTGAGACATGGAGAGAAGGGGTTCCGATATGCTTTCCGTCATGTAATTTGCACCAGCGCACTGCGTGCTTCAGCTGGGGTCTCCTATATTTAACTCTTCCTTCACACATCACCAACACCAGCCAGCGTACCGCGCCGTCCTGCAGACGTGCAGCAGGAATTCTAGACAGATACGCACACCGTTTAAAAAGGGAAGCAGAGCTTCTCAGCTGGGTTAACTCACAGGCATGAGCATCTATTTATATCTCGGCCAGCGCTAACAAGGTCCTGTTCTTTACACCGCCTGGTAACAAGGTCTGTGGATATTTTGGTCAAAGTCAGACGGGGCGACCTCATTTTAACCTCTGAACTGATCTGCCTCTTTGCTGTCTGGGGCTCAGAAAAGGACCCTCCTTTGGCGATGTGATCAACATGCCATTCCGCGCTCACAGATTAATTTCCCTTCAGCTTCCTTTGAGATAAACTTAGCCAACCATGCATCTCAAAACAAGTTCTGCATTCAGTCTGCAATCTTAAAAAAATCTCAGCCGCAATTAGAATTTACAATGATGTATGCTAGGATTATTAACAATTTACTAAAAGCCTCCATGACTCTGTTCTTCTTTTTATCATTAGAACAACTTATCATTAGTTCAGCTTACTTTGGGTGAGATGAAGCCAGACTTGTGGTTAAGCAATCTTTAATTCACATCCATCTGACTTAATACCATGTCACTTTTGTTTTTAATTTTCTTTTTGGAGGACAGGGGGAGGGTTATGTGGGGGCTGCTAAATTTGCTTCCTTATCCATTTAACCAGTCGTTTTCCTAAGTGCGTTGTTTTACTTAATGAGGCTGAGACAGCAGTACCTTCTTCTGTGCCTTAAGCCTCACAGGGAAAAGGCGCCAACGCATCAATTATTAAGAGGAAAACTGCACTGGCTCTAAAAAAAAGTTTTGGATATACACAAAATGCACAGTTGATTTAGTGAGAGCACTGTACCGACAATGAAAACATTCCTTGTTTAATGTACTTTTCATCGCTGTTCAATTGCCTTCTTTATCTTGGACACAATGAAGAGTTACAGTACACGTATGTTAAGAACATCAATAATTTACTCAAAGCCTCCATTAGTGTTTTTGCTATTACAACTTGGACTGCAATTAGCACAGCTTAGCTGTGCTGAGAAGAACGCTTGTTGTTCGGCAACGTTTAATTCACATTTAATTCACAATTTTCAAAAACGTGATCCCAACTATTTACAGTAAACTATACATGAGCAGCCAAAGCGAAATGTTGCAGTAGCTACACCTTTTGCATTTAGCAATAAAAAAAATAATTGGCTTGTTGTAAGATGATCCTCACTATGTCATTGACATAATTTGTTCCTCTCTGCACACCCATACAGGTGAAAGGTTACTTAAGGTGTTACAAAATTTAGATCTCTGAGTTAAGAACCTACAGTGAGCCCATTCAGCCCATCTGGCCTATTTGATTGTTAACAGCTGGTGTGAGGATCTTATCCGACTGTATCTTGAAAGGAGACAGCTCATCAGCTTCAACAACACAGTTGGGCAGCTTGTTCCACACTCCCACCACCCTCTGTGTAAAGAAGAGGTTCCTGTCCTGACTGGAGGATCCTATCCAGCTGTGTCTTGAGAGAAGCCTGGGTATTGGCTTCAACAACATGGCTGGGCAGGTTGTCCCACCCTCCCACCGCCCTTGGGGTAAAGAGATGTCTTCTGTTCTCGGTTTTAAATGCCCTTCCGTGTTGTTTCCACAAAGTTTAACTGTGAGTTTAAAACAACATGGCTCAAATTTCAGTAGACCACTGACATAGAACTGCGTTTCTCCCATTTAGTGGATGAAACAGAATCAGACAGAGTGTATGAGACAGCTCACAGAAACGAGCATGTGAGTAAAAACTGTGTTTTTAAATAGGTGGCCAGTCATGACATTAATGATGCATATTTATGCAAGTCAGAATAATCAGTATAGCATCCTCACCCTGCACTGACAGAGGACACTACATTGGAGTCAGAAGGGATTCTAATTTATGACAGTCTTATTCAGTTAGTATGACGTACAGTAGCTAGGAGGTTTTTCATATTTCAGCTTGCTACAAGAAGTTAACAGGTACAACGTGTGGCAGAAAAACACTGTGAAAGAAAAGATTACCAAAATGTTAAGAAAATGCTGTACAGAGAAAAAAAACAATAACATAACAGAATCAACTGGACACATTCTACAGTATACACTCATAGAGCGCATACAGTATATTATAGTGTGCATATCCTAATGAAGGCTTTAATGCAGAAACATTGACCCGTATTAAATAATATATTATGGAATATATAGTGTGTGATCAATTGATCCAGCTTTAGAAAAATAGCACCAGCCACATTTAATCCATTAGGTTTACATTTGTGATATGGTTGTGTCGAGCTTTCCATCACTAAAAAATAATCCAGAGCAATACTAAAATGAAAAATCGAAGGAGTTTCACGGCAAGCCTGACAGTGTGATCAATTCATTCCCCCCCCAAAAAAAGGCAAAAATATTAAAATCTTACTTCAGAAAAAAAAGCTGTTCCACCCAAAATGAAATGTTAGAGGACTCTTTAAATTATGAAGGGGATAGGAACCCAAAGTGGGCCGAAACTCTTATCAGGACGCAAGAGCACTTGAGCAAAAAATCCAGAACAAGATGGCAGAGAGCTTTGCCGGTCAGATGGGCAGGCCCCGAGAGGGAGAGACTTCTCACTGTGCTTCCCGTCACCTCCCAAACACTCCCAGGAAGATCCATTACTAGCTGACATACAATATTAAGGTGACCGAAATCCCGCAGTCTCCGAGTGAGAACCAAGCAAACATCGTCAAATAATTCCTGTACAACCGGAGCATTCTTCCATGATTATTCTTTACAATTCGTTCAGTAATCCCGGTGATCCATTTTGGCAGCAAATCTTTTCAATTCTAGCTGAAGGCATTTTCTACTTTGAATCCTTAATATTTGCCACCCCAGCAGCACATCTACAGTATGTTGCATTAAGAGTGCACATTGTTTCATGTAGTTGAACTAAAACTATATGCAGACGTACGACAACTACCCTGAAATATTCAGAGAAAGGCTTGCAGTGAGGGGTAAGACTACTCAGCACAGTGGCTTTGTTCCTTAGTCTAGACATTTTTATGCGAACATCAAAAACTCAGTAAATTCATTCACCACGTTTCTTTGACACTGGAAGCAAAAAATATAGACATGCCAGAGAAAAGTAATAATTCCCTGAACTCGCAAGAAGTGGACCGTTTTGTAGACTATTTTCTCTTATTTTCCTCCCTTATCTCAATTCTACAAATAATCCAATGAATGTCTTGCACCTATTTCGTAAAACAGAGAATAGATATTGGCTTACACAACGCTGCATGAAAGTCTCCTGTCCACCTCATAACCTGGCTGTGGAAAAGATGACCAGTGCTTTGTCAATAAGTATTACTTCATCCTACCTGCTGAATAAAGATAAATATGAACTAATAAGTATATCTACGTATAACACACAGCAATGAGATCGCTGGTTGGAATCCTGCTAACTAGAAGTATCACTAAAAGGATAGCTAAGCACTGCTATGGAGTTTCAGTGGTGTCATTAAGAGAAACAGAACATCCTCCATCTAAAAGAAGATCACTGCACTGTATTTGAGTGTTGAAAAGAACTGCACAATACATTTTGTATACAGGGACTGTAAGGTCTTAGAACTTAGAATAAAATGACTGCGTTTAGGTGAACCATCACACACAGAGACCTTCTCATTGGAAAATAAACCAAAGGTTCTCAAAGACAAAAAATAGCAACAGCACTTTTTAACGAATATAGACAGTGTGCGATTTAGACATGACCAATCTGGTGCCAAAAAGGTGCGGATATTCTCATTTAGAAATATTACAGTGGCTAATTTGTTTATCATTGTCTTCTTCAGGATGTGCTGGCATTACAGAAAGGGAACATTTTCAGCAATCATAGTCTTTGTACGCTGTGGCTGCTGAATCCAACTTACTGTACTGTTTAAGAGATGAGAAGTAAAGAGTGACTCCAGTTCTTTATTACACACAGTGGGCCTGCAACAGCACCTTACAAGTTTATTGTTATTATGGAGGACTGACTTTTTTAAGTTGAGTGTCTGAACACTCAAGACTTGGCACAAGAATGACTGAGTGCGTCTGCACACATATCAGTGTGAAATTAATTTACCTTTGAAGGCATTAGGGATGCAAATGCCTGACTCCTTATTACTATTAGTATTTAAATGCAATAGTCCTTGTATACTATACCTAGGAAACCCAGTGGCTTGGAAAATAACTATAGCACCCAGCAGGTTCAGGAATGAAAGAGAAATGAACTGTGTCTGAAATTTCCTATCTCTGGCACATGCAATTTCGTGTCCATGAGGTGGAATGGGAAACTTAAGTAAAAGCAGATAATGGACACATTGGTTATCGCCGCTCAATAGTACAGTTTCATCCTGACCTCGCATCTTGACCTACTGTTTCAGGCAGAAGACAGCAGGTCAGCCCACAGTCTAATACAATCTCCTTCCTCTTGATTTGCTTTCGCCTGTACGTGTGAGAAGGAAACCTCTGGAAGCTGGTTTTGGGCACATTTGACACACATTTCTTCACTGCTACAACACATGTGTCTGTCAGCCCTCCACAGAATACCCTGCCAGGAACTGGAGACAACATCATAACAGAACTGTAACAGCATCATAACTGTGATATCCACCGGAGGGAATGTGGAATTTGAACTAATACATGTCGAAAAGCCCAACAGATTTTATTCCCTGCTTCACCTCATTCCCCCACTGAAATGGGAAACAGAATAATCACACAACAGAAAGATTTACGGGTTGGATAATGTGTCTTTCTGACAAAAAAAAATACACTTGTAATTGAAAGAGAATTACACAGAGTAAAGGTGTTGCTGTGGTCAGCATATTTGCCTTGCAGAGCTTGTGCCCTGGGTTTAATGTCTGGGGTGCTGTCTGTGTGGAGTTTGTATGTTCTCCCCAGGGTTCATGTGTGTTGCCTAAAGGTGGTTTGGTTGGCTCCCAAAGTCCAAAAACATATTGGTAGGTTAGCTGGATTCTGGCAAACTTGACCCTGCTGTGAGTGTGTGCCTGTCAGTGTCTCTATGCGTGTCCTGTGATGGCCTGTTGTCCTGTCCAGGGTGTGTCCTGCCTTGTGCTCATTGCTGGCTGAGGTAGTCTCCAGCTCCCTGGTGGATCAACAACAACCACTGCAGTCTTTGGAGAGCTCTCTGACCTTCACCATGGTGATGCATACTACTACAGAAGATATACTGTGCGTCATCCTACTTACTATATCCCAGGAAAACAGGAAACCTGTGGAGGCTTCTCTATAGTTCTGGAAGCTTCCGTTGCACTTCCAAAAAGTTACTGTAAATTTGTTTTTGATGGATTTTCTGAACAGGAACGCTTAGAAGTTTGAATAAAGCTGACTGTCTGGTACTATTATAGACTTTTGTTTTTAAGCAAGACACATTACCCAACCTGTAAAGCTTCCTGTTATACAGTCTGAAGCTTTTGTTCCTATTTCATCTGGGGTATGAGCAAATCTGGAGGTCACTGTATTAGTATGATGTTTTAAGCACATAGTTTGCACTTGTGAAAGGGAAAGACATTTTGCAAACACCAACAAAGTAAAAAAATATGAGGCATAAAAAATAAATGGTTCCTTTGAGTCCTATAAATTCCTATTAATGCTTCAATGATAAATAAGATAAATGTATGCAATAATTAGGAGTACGCCATTTATATATTATATGTATATTGTACCAATGCACCTTTTTAACTGTCAATCATGGCGGAAAGCAGCAATGGCTACCATTAAAAAATTAATCAATTTTAAACTGTCTATTGTCATTACAAAGTACTGCACACAAAACCAATTTAAATAAACCTGGATCGCAGAATCGTTTTATCCTTCTCTCAGCTGACAATACAGACGGTCAAAAACATTCCAAATGGGAAGAGCACCTGCTAATCATCATTTATGGACTCTAGTCTCTGATAGCACAACATGTGATGGTAAAATTATATGTGGGGTAGAGTAGAGGAGTTTTTTGCCATATGTACTGTACATGTACATTGGAATTTTTATTTGTGCTGATCTCTCGGGACAGCACAACAGACACCACCACACAATGTAGACAGTACATAACAACATCATAAATAATAACAACTGGAACAACAAATACGAAGTAGTGAAAGAAAAAAAAACATGGTAGACCATGCAAAAATTGCATATTGAGTCGGAGTCTGGAGGGGCTTATTGTAGATGGTCAAACTGGTCTCAAAACTTTCATAGTCAGTGAAGCTGCTCAAAGGTTCCAGAGTGAATTCTTTGTACCTGCTGTTTCTGGGCCAGGTTTGTATGGAATGGACAGTGATGTTCATGTTCATGGGCGGAGCGGTGGCTCTGTGGCTAAGGATCTGCGCCTGTGGCTGGAAATTTGTCGGTTCAAATCCCGCAGCCGGAAAAGGAATCCTACTCTGTTGTGCCCCTGAGCAAGGCCCTTAACCCCAATTGCTCCAGGGGTGCTGCATAAATGGCTGACCCTGTGCTCTGACCCCAAGCGTCTCTCTCCCTCTCTGTGTCTCTCATGGAGAGCAAGGTGGGGTATGCGAAAAGACAAATTCCTAATGCAAGAAATTGTACATTACCAATAAAGTGATCTTATACTCACCAGGCTGGGCTAATGGTGGCCTCTCTTGGGAATATGGGACAAAAGGGCCTGGCTGAAGAGCAACACCACTCAACAGGTTCATCTTCCACCTCAACATCATAATCCTGGAGCCATTCATAGCTGGTGAAGCCCCTGAAATAATAAGGAGAAGAATATTGTTAATTTCTGAACTGGGATGGATGTTTCTTCATTATTTCTGATGGGACACTTTCTAAGTTTGTTTCATTGCTCTTTCCATTTCCAATTTAGAGTATACTAAAGGCTTTCTGTTACTCCTCAAGTCCAACTCACCCTCTATTTTGATGTCTGCATTTGTGCTTTTGCGGCCTTAAAAAAGATGGCAGTTATCTGACTAAATAGAGCCTAAGAATCTGGTACACATTTAATCTCAAATGTTCCAGAACAGTGACTGAAACATACAACTGTATCACTCTCATACAGACAAGACAGTTTTAGATCTTATTACAGCTACAGAACATGGTTTGACAACACTGTTATGCACATCTTAACTTGACCCTGCGTCTACGTATGAAGTTGAGTTCTCAGTCATCTCCACAGTACTGTTTTTAGCGTGCTTGGTGAGGATTGCCACAAAACTAGCAGCTAGAAAAAGACCTAAACATTTTGGGCTATTACATTTTGAAAAAGAGGATAAACAAACATCACATTATTATAAGCAAATATAGTTGTCTATTTCATCTACCTGTGCACACATTTTCTGTTGATTATGGAGAGTTTGCATAACTTCTCTGTGTGTTCAAGTGAAGGCCTTTGGGTGCCTGTATTCAATATGTGTGTGTAGGTGTGTGTGCCATGTGGTCATGTAGTTTTGCCATCTGTTCTGCGTAACTGTAAGCAAACAGACATTCGAGATGCCAGAGCTGGTCTCTGTTATTTCAAAATACATTTTTTTTTAAATAAAAGAAAATCCATGTAGTCTTTCATACGGTTTTTCCCACCTCTTGGTAGATGTGTATTAGTACACAAAAAACGCTTAAATAGAGACAAGAGATAGATACAACGGCACGATCTAAGAATTTAGTCTCACACTTTAAGCTTTTTTTTACTTTATGTCCGCAGTAAAAGTGAAAAAGGTTCAGTATCTTTGAAAGTGAGAATGGCATGACCACAGCAAGATACCGGACGGTTGACAATTTTCTGCAGGGCCCTGATGGTAACACAAGTCTGCTCCACGCACTGCTTCCAGCACGGAGGAAGAGAGGGTGGGTCACTGGTCTATGTACCATATGCCTCGCAGTCAAATGTTTGGCATGTGCTGTATTCCAAAACCGTGGGGCTGTTGCCTGTCGAAGGAAGTTCTGATTCTTCTGCACTGTAAGCAGGTTCTGTTTCTGGGGGGGGGGTTGGGCGTACGAGGGTGGGTGTGGGGGGTTGTCTGTGCAGCTGCAGCCCTGCCAGCTCATTTTGCGCCAATGGAAAAGAACAGTTTATGGCGCACACCCAAGGTCAGCGCTTTGAGCAAAGGATCTTGGGAACAGGTCCAGGCGCTGCAAAGCTGCTTGTTTGTATGCAGTCAGTCGGCAACAATTAAGCCTCTAAATAAGAAAAGCCAGATTCTGTCCCACTGTCCCCCCCGCCACAACAACCGTCTCACTCAGCCTCCCCTCCTCACCCCTGTCGGCTTCACCCACCCTATTCTTATTCTCCTACCTGACAGCTCCGACGGAGACACACAAAATGGACGCAGGGAGCTGGAAGGAAGGTGGTAGCCATTTTGTGAGCCTCCCGTCGGAGAGCAGGAAGCGGGAGCAGAGCAGGGGATGTTTCAGAAGGAGGGGGACGACACCCCCGCTGACTTACTTGAAGGAGCGCCCGTATTCGCGCATTTATGCTACGCATGTGGGAAACACGCACTTTTGAGGGAAGAAGAGAAGGTTCTGAGGGACCCGAAACGACATCGCCTTCAACGAATAAAAGATAAGCGCAGAAAGAAGTCGGGCTGCGGGAGAATGGTTGGCCCGCATGATTTGGAAATTACATGGTAGCTCCTGAGTAAAACGTATGAACAAGGAACCAAGCAGCACACGTGAGGGAAATAAAAGACTTAAAAAGTCACCCTTTTCCTGTAGCTTTATAAGAACGGCTTTAGTGGTCAAGGTACCACCAATCATCCATTTTCTAACCGCTTCATCCAATTAAGGGTCACGGGGGAGCCAGAGCCTATCCCAGCAGGCAATGGGAGCAAGGAGGGGTACGTGCTGGATGAGACACCTATGTATCACAGGCTAGACAGACAAAATCTGCCGAGAAGCCAATTAACCTACCACTATGTCTTTGTGCTGCGAGAGGAAACCGAGGCACCTGGAGGAAACTCGTGAGAACCTGGCGAGAACATGCAAACTCCACACAGACAGCACCCCTGGTCAGAAAGTGAACCCAGGGCCCCAGGGCTGTGAGGCAACAATGCTAGCCACAGCGCCAGTGTGCCGCCCCTTCGACAAAATCCTACCATCTACAATGTGCTGCTGCAACACACATGTGTCGGGACAGCCAGCAGAAAAGAGAAAACATTCAAACATGGCAGTAACTTGCTTGGTCTTGACCAAAGAACAGACCTTAATGTAAATGATCATGTGGAATGTTTGGAGTTTGCAACACAGAGTACACACTTTATGTAAAAACAAAGCGATTGGGCACTGCTGACACAAAATTGCAAAAAGAGAACAGCTAAAACTGTACAAATTACAAGTTATGCACCCTAATATTTGGTGCTAAATATTTTCTTATCGGTATAGAGACTTAGCATTGTAAATCACAACAACACTCTCTTTTGGCCATCTTTAATTAAGAAACGTTAAATCTCTCATCTGTTAAGCATAAGAACGCAATCTAAAGTAATCTGAAGCAAGAAGTAAGTACACATTACATGATTTCAGGAATAATTACTGTACATTGGTTTACAGCGCAATCCCAACACATGGTCACTTAAACGCCTTCTTGATTACTGGTCGCAGAAATAGAAATCACTCATAAGGGTTTAGATCAGAGAGCTACACTGTGAATCACTGCAGTGTCTTCTCTGCTAAACATGGCAGCTGTCAAATTAAGGAGTTTTGCTCAGCGGCAACACATTGCTTTATGAAACTTAATTCCGTTCACAAGCTCCTGCAACAATTACAACAATTACGGACATTTCCATCAATGTTTGATTGACGTTAAGAACCAGAGGGAGATGAGAAAGAAAGCAAATGGCGAAAAAATGTTTTTCTCTGCAAGGGATCTGTGCTAAGAATCCTGAGTTTCAATTCTATATATTTTTTTACAGTATGTAGGTAGTATCAGAAAATCAACATTCATTGATAAGATGAAGTATGATATCATACAAACAGAAAGAAATAGTGGCTGAAAGAAAAACGGTGGTGATACAGTACTTTTCATCTTAATGACAGGCACAGAACTTGTGAAATGAAGTCAAACCAGGGAGAGTTGGGGTTAATGTTGCTATAGTCACGCCTGAAGGTAGGTACCTCTGCCAAATCTGTCAACTGCTATGAATCTACCTAATAACTTCAGAGAAAACCAGGCTGTAAACTCCCTCATGTCTTGCGGGCCAACATGGAAAGACAAGAAGTTATATAAATCTTCAAAATGGTGACTCTAAAGATTTTCCATCCATAAATTCATCCGCTGTCCCTAATTCCCAACGAATCCGGCATTTCAAGGCTTACGAACACTTTTTCCATTTTCCTTCTGTTTCTTCCCAACTATGTAATGTACAAGATTTCCACTTAAACATACTGCAGCGAAATGCAAAGGCACAAGTGTTCGATAAATATCAGCTAGATTAGGTTCTGGATTTTAAGTAGACTGCGACAGGTGCCACTGCTTTCCAAATAAAGGGTCAAGTAACATATTTCTGAAAAAGACAGTCTGTTTCAAGTCAGCTCCGCAACACTGTGCAGCAAGGAATCCTGTTTACATCGAAAAGCTTTATTTGTTTGAAAATCATCAATGCATTTCAAGTGTTTCCGAGTCGGTTCTAAAGCTAAGTAGGTTTCATGAACACATTTTACTTTAAATTTTGCAAGAAAAAAAAGAAAACCCTCCCTTCCATCACCACCTCCAACTCCCTATGAGTTTCGACTAAAAAATACTTCAGTAAGGCATACAGTTACTATAGAAACCCATTGCAATGAGGTTTTAACTGTGTCAACAGCAACATTCCAAGCTGACATTGTCTTGTCTCCTGGAGCCCTGGATGATAACAGTTGAAAGTTCTATATAAATGATACAAAGACAATTCGTATGATACCAACAGTGGGAATGAGGACACAACACCACCAGCATCGTTTAACAGCCAACCAGATCTATTTTTCCAGCGGCGAGAGACCCCACATCTTCAAATATTCACGCAAATATGTGAAATTCCTTGTACAGTTTGGCCTTTTTGACATCCCCAGTTTCAGATTTTAACAATAACATATACAGTATAGGTTTAGGTTTAAGTATGGCATGATTGCCTTGGAGCTGTGGGTCCCCTCAGTCCTATTTTTGGGGTCCTTATCTGTGTGGAGGGTGCAACAGAGGTGCTCACTACAAAAGGCTTGAGTAGATTGTCTGGAAAGTATTGAAAAAGGGAAAGACCATCTTCATGAAGTGAAGATTCAACCCCTTTCGAGTTAAGCTAGACTTCGATTCCTGCCACTCCTCTCCACACACCGAGCTACGTTTCGGACGCAGTGCATTGCCACACAACCTGTGTGCCCAGTCCGAAAGAAAGAACAAACAAACACAAAAAATACAGAAGGAATTGCTTTGCCATGGGATAGTCACAAGGGTAATGTGCTTCTTGCTCTCTGTGACTGGGCACGGCACCTATACATTTATTCACTTGCAGGGGATAAAGTAATAACAGTGGCATTTCTTGTGGTCAGTGTCCAGTAAGGCCTCTATTTTTCACTTACTGTACATGCCCACCTGCAGACTAAACTGGTTTTGCAAGCACTGCCTACACCCAGACACTGCAGATAAAGGTGTTTGATGGTTTATTTGACAATAACCATGCCAACACAGTTACCAGATTCATCAGTGGGACACCTCCCTTGAATCTGGTAAGGGAGTCACCTAGGTTAGACCATGTTACCCTGGACTACATCTAATAAGCTATCAAA